CTGATCATTTATGTATACATTTGTCTATATCTATCTCGATTCCTTTTGCCTGTTACAAACAACCGTTATGTGAACAAAGTTATAATACCCTTGTGCACAAGTGCGCGCGGGTATAAAAATTCAATACTAAAACTTGAATTGGCGAATGACCATCATTTGTCGGTTCTGTCAATTAAAATTTCCTCAATTAATTAGGAAACAAAACAAACAGAGTTGATCACTAATTGTTCCAGATTTCTATCAGCATCACGTCGATGTTGAATTTGCGTAACTTTTCTTTGTCCAAATAATGTAAAATAAATAATAAATGAAATCTCGATCGGCGATTGACTGAATAGCAGCTAGCAACTGTATACGCGAAAAATCATGTTGCCACTTTTTCTCATTTACCATGATCGATTCGTGGAAATTTTTGAAGATCACATGGTTGCTTTTAGAATTTAGATGCTTAATGCAGAAATTGAGTTGCATTGACGAATTTTGTATGGTTAAATGTACATTTAGAGGTAAATGCGCTAAATATGCTTTACGCGTTGGTAAAAACAGCCCATTATGCAGCGTTTTTACAACATTTAAAATGCAAAATTTAGCACTTTCACTCATACATATATTTTCGAAGAGCGTTCATGCTATCGCATTTACCAAATGCATATTTACGCGAATTCGAAGTTGCATACTTTTGACAAACACCCGTGTTCCAGTCGCTTTTTTAGATCCGTATCTAGCACGAAAAAAAAAATTAAACATCAAATTTAGTACAAAAACTTGAGCTGTTTAAACCATAACCGAAATTTTGCTTGGGTAATAAACAATTTATCGGTGCTATCAATAAAAATTGCCTAAAGAAATTATTAAACCAAAAAAACAGCATCATATCGTTGTTGGATTAGCGGGCATTTTTTGATGTGAAACTTCTTAGTCGAGTTCGGAGATGGTTGCGTTAAATATTTAACACCAAGCCATAAACTCTGTATCGTTCGTTCGATTTTTAAAAATGAGGTGTCACATGAAAGGCCTTGTCCTTCGGGTGTACACCATAGCCTTAGTTCCATGAAAGGAGTTGCCACATGTTAGAAAATCGAATTCAAAATTTCTCTGCCGCAGAGGGTTGCGTTAAATATTTAACACTTTGCTTTTCGAACACGTAGAAGAAGTATGCACCAACCTAGGTACAGAAATCAAAGTACCGCGATACAACAGTCGCCAAAAGAATCGCTTTTATGTGAAAACCGGAGACGCCGAGGCATACTATCGCATTGCATTTTACATTCCCTTCCTTGATACATATATTGCTCATTTGAAAAGCCGGTTCCTAAACCATAAATCAGTTTTAAATAATTTTAGTGTTTTGTTCTTACGTACATTGGCACTTTTGCCCGTTTCAAAAGCTTTTCATGCCTGAAAATAATTAAAACCTACTTGAGAAATACAACATGTCAAGAAAGGCTCAAGGGTCTAGCATCTATGAATATTCACAAAGTTACAAATTTTTCAGCTGACGAAGTTCTAGAAGAATTTTTCAAAAAACCACGAAAAATTTGAAAATTCTTCATTTCATTGATTTATAAGTAAAAAGAAAAATTTAATGTGTTTAAAATTATCAAAATCTTTTATAAAAAAAGCCAAAATTTAATATATGATTTTAAAAATTCGTGTTTGAAACTTTATTACGCATACTTTTTTCTAAAGAGCCTTTTTTCTAGACCAATATTAGTGAAATATTATTCTTTGGCTTGAGGGGGGGGGCGGGTATCCGCCACTGACCCACACCAACACTAATTCTTCACCACTTCATTTTTAAATAAAGAGATCTTCATCCATTTACAGTCTATAGGCATATATTATTCATTTATTACTTATGTATGTCACTAGCACTTCTCAATTCCGTACAATCCTATACTATCCTAGTTCAAAATATAATTGGATAAAACTTACTACTCAAATACCGCTGTTAACGAAATTCCGATTTCCCAAGGTTCCCACTATTTAATCTAATCCAAAAAAAAAAACATCTTAAATTCAAATAAAAAGTAAGACTATTTATTTTTCTTCTTATAAACAAATGATATATACATATACATAATAACACGGGTTTAATTCAATGAAACGAATGTATTTTTTTTCGTATATTCACCTTTCTTTGTCACTCGCGCCTGTGTAAATACGTGCCTTTAAACGACGATCGATTTCTTTTCGCGACGTAGTGAAGGGCCGAACTGAAAAGGAGAGCAAAACAGGTGGCATAGGTACCCACTAAGCGTGATCCACTATACCACATGTTTCTATTTGTTTGGTTGCTCTCCTTTCCAGTAGTATATGTACATATGAATGCTTTAT